CGGATCTACTTTCCTGGAAGGGCGGAGCGCGGTGTGTGCGAGAGCGACAGGGGTGTCTGCGCACGGATCTCTGCTGCGTGGGGCTGGCCGGTGCTCACGGCCGTGGAGGTGGAGACGCGCCGACTGGACTGAGAGGCGGGCGAGGGGCAGTTTGGGCAGCTGCCCCTGCAACGCTCAAGAACTGGAACAGGAAAAGCGTGGGGGAGGGGGCGCGCGGACTCTTTGCAGTTGGAATGCGCGGAGGGGCACGGTGGAATGTGGCGGCGCGGGACGCGGCGACAGGAGGCCCGCAGACACCGTGACTTTGTTCCCAGCGTAGGGACTGCGGGAGAGAGGGAGCGAGACCGGTGCGGGATCGTTGAGGCAGAGAGAGCGAGCCACGAAGAGGAAGACAGGAAGAAAAAAGGCAGATGCAGAAAGAGGTTCAGAGACGCGGGCGTGAAGACACCCCTGCCTGGCGAGGAAAGAAGCCCACACAGGTGAAAGACAGGTAGCGAAGAATAGAGAGCCAGCGCCAAGCGGAGGGCGGGTGGCACAGAGACCGAAGGATGCAGGGACAAAGGAAAAGACAAGCTTCCCAGAAAGGAGAGACAAACAGCAAAACGGCAATAAAAAGACACCACGTTCTGGACCCAGAGTTTTGTGATGATGGAGAGGGAGGGTGGGAGGAGGGGAGATTGTGTGAAAAGCAGTGAGGGAAAGGTCTGGGGCTAAGCTCTACCTTAAGAGGGAGGTAGGGAGATTTAGTGTGTGTGTGAAAGCAGTGAAAAGGAACGAGGGAAAGGTTTGGGACTGATCTACTTTAAAGGTAGGACAGATAGAGGGATAGACAGACACCCCCTGGTGTTGGAAAATGAGATTTGTAGTAAATATTTCAGGTCACTGGGGATCAAAGGCCGGGTTTTAGGGCAAGTGAACATCTTCCCCTCTTGGTTGGTCCACAGAAGATCGGTGATAAAGAGTAAGTAATAGCTTAAGATGAAGAAAAGAAATGCCACTTAGAGGAAATAGCAAATGAAAATGGTCAGGATGGAAAAGAAAAAGAGGCTGGCACTGGCCATTCTAGAAGGATAAATAATAAGGAAAAGAAACCCTGGCTGAAGCTAAACATCCCTAATTAAGTACCAGCCTGTGGATTTTGCCCAGACTAGCACACTGGGGGCGAGGGGCAGAGGACATAGATTGGAGAAGGAAAATGACTTCTTTGTATTTAGATAGTAAATGAGCATGAAAATTATATGCAAACAAATCATGCATATTATTTTCATCTCAACATTCTGAACACCTTTTATAATCTAGCGTAGCCTTAGGGAGTGGGAATGAAAGGAGGTTACTATCTTTGGGGAAATTAATTTGGCACAAACTATTTCGCTTCTTTGTCCTAGCTGCATTGTCTCCCTGACCTCACCTTTCCTGTGAATCAGTCATTCTGTTTCCCTGGTCAGTCCTACAGCTTTTCTCTGATCCTGAGGAGAGAGTTTACTATCAGGCTGAAAGCAGGGAGGCCTGAAAGCACTAGTAACAGAGAAACAGAGGGGAGCTATCAGATTGTATCTAGAACGTGCTGTGAGCAACACCTTCAGAATTAGCCATAATGCTTTCCCTCCTTTCCCAAAATATCCACACAGCTTCTAATATTTGGAAGCTTTTATACTTTGGGGGTAAGGATGGGAGAATAAATCTTATGAGATGAGAAGCCATTAAAGGAAGCCCATTGAAGAGTTGGTGGTGGGCACAGTTGGGATGAACAGTCTGTGTTTTCAGGGGGTGACAGGAAGCAGAAGGGGAAGAAGGTGCACTGATAGGGCATGTTCCATTAGTGCTCATAACCCCAGGGCAGTCACTCCACAGTCTGAACTGGAGCTGAGGGCTGCACAGGCCCTCTTCATCCCCAAGACTTTTTTTTTTTTTGAGTTGGAGTCTCACTCTGTCGCCCAGACTGGAGTGCAGTGGCCGCTCCTGGCCACCGCAGCCTCGCCTGCTGGGCTCC